ATTGGGCGAGTTCAAGACGGCAAAGCGGCTAGGCATGCTTACCGAGCGATTAAATATGATTGGTTGAATCTATAAGTAACAACCAATTACGTTCATTTGCTCGGCGAGCAGGCTAGCCGCTTTGTCAACTTGAACGCGCCCATTAGCGGTCTTTCAATCTTATTATTATTTCTTTAGTATTCCATATTGTATGATCGATTATATTTGTTAACCTTTTTTGTAATTGGTTGCCATGGTGGATCCACACGCCAAATTGCAAACATCCTTTGCTGATCGAGTTTTCTACCAATTGTTAAACGTATCATCTCGAAATGACCATATTTCAATCTACCTCCTCCTGTAGCCTATAATTTAAGAAAATGATAATACATCTCTAAGAGTTTCCTTATCACTAAAAGCTCTAAATAAGAACTGTCTATGAACACTATCCTAGAAATAGTATTTAAAGTTTGTTTTTATTTTAAGTAATTTTTTAAAATGCTAACTCTGATTTATATTTTAAGCTATATTTGAGACGGTCTTAAATATAAGAATCTACTACAGTACTGGCTTAAATGTATCGAAAATGCAGACTTACAATGATACCAAATTGCCTGTACATAAGGAAATTATGTGTACTTTCTGGCCCTCGTAAGTACCTTAGTCGCTTTTGCATTTTGGGAGCACGTACTCCTGGTGGAAATTGTGGAACTCTTTCCACTATCTTGAGTTTTGCTCGCTCCGGAAATTCAATATCTGATGACAATATAATAAATATAATATCAAATTAGTATCTTTAATATTTATAATAATATTTACCTATAACTATGTGATATACTTACCGCCAAATTTTATTGGCGGACGAAAGATCTTTAAACCAGCTACTGGTGTTATAGATACAGATTGCCATGCTATAAAAACATCACAATGTGAAAAATACCGAAAAAATCCAGAGAGGTCTTTAAATGTATCATACTGAAAACACTTACAGGAAAGTAAAAGACGTGCCACATTCTTGGAAGCTTGTAACATTTTTAGGTTAAAAAGATATATCTTTTTAGTTTATAGCTATATAAATCGCTGAGTGATTCAAAGCAAAGAAATAATTTCTTCTTGAATTTTCTCTTTTAATTTCTGCTTCATTTATCTCATAAAACAATATTTATAAACAAGTAAACATATATCAACGTTTGTTTGTTCTTGAATTTGTCGAATAAGTTTATATTTCTCTCTCTCTCTCTCTTTGTATACTAATTAAATCATTAAATCTATTTACTTGCAATTGTTGCACTTAGAATCTTCGTTTTCTCTCTCTAATGTCTAAATCTAACCATATTTATTTCATTGTGTGCAAAATTGGCTGCGTTCAGCAGAACGTTTGTTTTGCAACGTTGGAAGTTTCCTTCGCGCTAATTGGATCATACTTTTAGATCTAGAAGAATGGTCGCGTTCAGCAGACTCAACTGTTGCGGAGCGGATCAATGAGCTCTCGCTGCTATTGGATGATCTAAAAGAATACACCAATAGCAGTGAGCGCTCACGGATCCGCTCCACAACAGTTGAGTCTGCTGAACGCGACCAATGGTCCTATCTCAGCAGACAATCATAAAACGGTTGCAAAACTGTTGAGTCTGCTGAACGCAGCCATTTTAGAGATTTCAAGCAATGTGAACAGTGAGTGCATTCAGTACTATAACCGCTCAGTGAGCTCTTGCATATGATTGGCATATTCCGTTAGAACTAAAAATATAGACCAAACAGATACAAGGGGTGCGTTCAGCAGAACGTTTGTTTTGCAACTGTTGTAAGTTTCCTTCGCGCTAATTGGATCATACTTTTAGATCTAGAAGAATGGTCCTATCTCAGCAGACAATCATAAAACGGTTGCAAAACTGTTGAGTCTGCTGAACGCAGCTAAGAGCTCACTGAGCACTCAGTGAGCGGTCATAGTACTGAATGCAACGTCGTGTTTTTGGATGCACCAAATGGGTACAACATCATTGCATCCAGGAGCACGACCGCTCATTGAGCGCTCAGTGAGCTCTTGTATCTGTTTGGTCTATATTTTTAACTCTAATGGAATATGCCAATCAGATGCAAGAGCTCACTAAAGATTCTCAAATAAGAGATGCGAGAATTGAAATCGCTACGGGATTGGTTGATGACGACGTTGCAAGAATATGGCGTAATCAATGGTGAAATCGTATCTTATTCCTATTTACATAAGATAAAACGCGGCGAACATAAATCTGACTAAGTAATATATGATATTTACTTTGCTAAATTTATGTTTGTCGCATCTTTACTTTGTAAGTATACTTACTAGAAGATGATACATATTAAAAACAAAGGGAGTAGAAAAAACGTAATGTATAAAGCGCAATGTTCACACATGTATGATTTTATTTAGAGAATACTTTTATATTTAGAGAACACTTTATGATTTTATTTAGAGAATACACTTTCGAGAATACACTTTATGATTTTATTTAGAGAATACTTGAAGATCTCTAGCTGGAGGCACAGACTTTTGCATATCGCATAACGTAGAATTAGAGATGTAAAAAACGGTATATTTTTTACTTCAGAGAAAAAGTATCAAGTAAAAAACTAGTTTTTTTTACTGTAAATAACGATATTTTTGACCAAATTACATAAAATTTATGAAAAAACATATAGTTATTTCAAAATAATTATTTGAACGACAGATATTTTATATTTAAAAGCTAAATAAGTGATATTATTAATACAGATAATACTTTATAAGCATAACAGATACTGTTTCGTTGCATATTGGTTATAATTGTACTCTATATTTTAATTATTTTGTATTCTATATTTTATTTACTTTGAGACAATATTTTAATTATTTTGTATTTTATATTTTATTTATTTTGAGACATCCCAATATAATATTTTGATTCAAGAATAATTAAAGATTCGATGAACATTGTCTCACAAATTTAAATTTAGAATATGTACAACACACAGTATACAATTACAGTATACGACAAAAATAGTATCAATTAGTCTAATAAAGTATTATTTGTATTAATAACAGTATGGAACACTTACTTAACTTTTAAAATTGAAGCACAGTAAAACATAAAACATCCATTCAAATAATAGTGAAAGGTATATTTATAGCCATCGACATTAAACTATAATTATTATACTTAATATACTTAATACAATTATACTTAATTATTATACTATATTTTACTTTTTTTAGAATTTTTCCGTCGTTTACATCTGTACGCATAAAGCTGGTTTTACATTAAGTCGCATATGATCGCATTGCAGCGTAGCAAGCGTTGCGGTTCAATCAATATCAATCTAGCTCGACTCTGATTGGACCGCAACGCTTGCTACACGCTTACAACGCTGCGATATGACTAATGTAGAACTAGCTTAATTCATAAGAAACTATATCAATCAAAGTCCTTAAGGATTTTGCGTATTGTCTGGGTTCATTTTTTTTTCCGTAAAATAAAAGACTTTGGATTGATTTTTTTTATATAATATTTTATGCATTATGCGAAGATTTGTGTTTAAATCTGAAAAAGAGAAAAATATTCAGTTATGTCATGAAAATGTATTTAATAATGTATATTATAAATTTATATGTATATAATATATATCTTGATAAATTATTAGTATAAGTATCTTCAGATACTATATATGCAGTTCGTTTCATTGGCTGCAAAGAATCTGAAGATAGTTTAATCTGAATTTCAGATAGTCTAATCTGAGTTATAAATATAAGATTTGACTACGAATAGTGGTCTAGGAAGTTGGCTGTTAAGTAAATGTAAGTAAATATAAGTCATATCTCACAAATACAGCTAGAATCCGTGGATATCCAATTCGCTCGTGGAATATTTATTTTGTACAATCCATTGAGTCCTTTTGTCTGGATTTCTTGGGAAATGTTTCATAAGAAATCCTTTAGTCAGTGAATTTTTACAATTTGACACACAACTGGCATTGTTATTGTCTAGATATTATCTATAATTGTTTATTTATGCGTTATAAAGTCATGTACATTATAGGTTAGGAATATGCCTACGTTACAATATTTTCAATTACCATATCAATTTTACAACTTATATGGAATAATAATATTTTATAATAATATTGAATCATTATTATCTAAATTTAGTAATTTCAACTTACAAACATACAAGTATAATCACATACATATGACACATAATGAAGATCGGCATGTTCTTGCAAATGCTCGAAGTTCGCGTATCTCTTAGGCCGGAATCAGACTATGCATTGAAGATTGAGATTGAAGATTGAAAAATTCAAATTTGACCAATCGAAATGAAAGGAGCTAAAATTTCTTTGTCCTTATTAATCAAATTTCAATCTTCAATCTTTAACCTCAATCTTCAATGCGTAGTCTGATTTTGGTCTTTGAGGATCTCTAGCGCATCTTAAGGGGTAACACCACTGTAAAATTTTCAAAAAATCATTTTTTTTTTTGGGCTTAAAAAAATCCTTTGAACCCTGTAGAATACGAGGAAAAAACTTTTATACGTGAAACTAATTTTTTTCATCGAAATTCCGAGCTGTGTACCGAACGAGCCGGGCGACTCCGAAACGGCTACCTGCGCAAGAAGCAGACACCTTGGACACTTTCCGTCACAAGTCACCGCTTTCCGAGGAAGTTTACGAAGCCATAAAACCTATTTATGAAGATTTGAGTCGAGACGAGTTACTAAACCGTTGCCTGGGCGTTCAATTTTTTCATGTTCATAATACAACTCCAAACTTTAAACGCGTTTTTCTCGAAACACGTTTTTTCAACGTGACAAGCAGTATAACTCAAACAATTTTTAATATTTTCGCTCGAATTTTTTACTGTACATTCAAAACAACATTTCGAAGTACAATACGTACGGGATTTTCGATACGTTGCTTTAAACATTTTTTATTGCCAAATAATGTCACTTTTTTGTGTCGAAAAATGAACGACTTTATTCAAATGCTCGCCAATCACTCAAAAATCAATATTTCTAAAATCCCCTACGTATTGTACTAGATATACCATTGAAGATCATGAGGAATGATTTTATTTGTTCTAGATTCAAATTTCCAACGGCTACACTGCTTGCCGCGGACCCCTTTATTTTAAAGGCGCATCGGGAATATGGCTGCCATTCCGCCATTTTGTAATATTTTTTTATGAAAAAATGTTTACAAGTACTTCAATATATGCTTATTAACTTCACGGAATATTAATACTTTATTTCATTTCCTTCCATTAAAAAAAAAATGTCGAAAAAGTGCAATTTTTTGGGCCGTTACAGTGGTGTTACCCCTTAAGGCGGACTCCATAATCCCGGATCTACAATAGGGTTTTAAGCCTTAAGCCATAAGAAATGGGTGAATCACAGTCGATTATTCCCCTCGGATTCGACTGTAATTGGTCAATTTTTTACGGCTGAGGTCTTAAAACACCTATTGTAGATCCGGACTAAATGGTGCTCAAGATTCAAGATGGTCTTAAGCTAGCGCATGAACCAATCAGAGAGCCGTATGTATTAGCATCTTAAACATCGCTTGAGATTAAGACCGGACTATAGATTCCGTCCTAAGCGCATCGACATGTCTTTATATTAGGTTTAGATATTTAAGGAGATCCTAAAGCCGTCTGTTTTACCGACTAAATCGTAATCTTTATATAACAATTACTTTTTTCCTCTTTTACAGATTCGCGCGAAAATTCTTTTCCAATATTAAAATATATGCATCAATACGTCTCTATGAAGTGGAGTTTATACCGAAAATGACAAAAAATTTTTCTTAAGATTTCAATTTCAAAATTTTTTGTCATTCTTGGTATAAATTCTATCTCACAGACACGTATTAATGCGTATATTTTAATCTTGGGAAAATATGATATATGTGTTTCGCAAAAACAATTTCAAGTGTCTCATATTTTTATCTGTAGAATACGTTAGTAAATTTAAAAAAAATTAAAAATGATGTTTCAAAGGTGCCCGATGTTAAATGCCTCGTATACATATGATCTCTTTCCCATTTCTTTTAATACATGCTTATGAAATATAAGAATATCGCAGATAACACTAAGTTGATGATGATTATAAAATAAAAAAAAACAAAATTGAATTTTTTTAATATTTTTATTCTACCAATATAACACTACAGTATATAGCATTATATGAATTTGTATATTGAATTAGTTTTCATTAGGTTAATTAACCTAATTAGTTTTCATATGTAATTCATATGTAATTTCATATATAAGTCATCATTTCATGAGTCATCATCTTGTCGGAGTTTTTTGTTGGTATTTGTTATCAGCAAATCAAGTTTTTTAAACATTTTTATTTTGAATGTTCTCTATAGTCTTCTTAACAAATGTTTCCCATTCTTCGGGCTTATTCTTTGTATACCAATCAACTAAGATATCAAAAAGGTTTTTTTGTTTTTCGGTGCACTTGCTGCATTGAGTTCGTATAGCTTCGCCTATAACTCCTGAAAGCACAATGGGAAATTAAGTTTCACACTTATCTGTTTTAACATAAAAGATTAAAAACAGAATTCACAAAAATGAAAAAGATGAGAAAAATAATTTTTAAATCGATATTTAAAAATGCCACAATCTTTCTCAGCATTATTGCAAATCATGTGTGTTTCAAAATGAAAGTCTATCTTTTGTTCGACACAGTTATAAGAAACTGTTTATTCAAAGAAGAACGCAATAAATTGGTCAATCTTTAAATCGATAAGTTAAAGACGCACACTGTCGATCGCGCTAGACTCTTATTAGCTCTGTTTTAATTTAATTTTATAATTTTTAAATTAAGTTATTTTATCACACACATATATCTAACCAATCTACTTAAATACTTTTATCAATATATGATTATTGATTAACTTGTTTATTATTTGTTTTTTATTCTTTATTACACACATATTTAAATCTTTCACATATTTTCATAAGAAATATGCAATATTTTTGCAATATTTATTCGAGAGTAATCTATTTTTTGCATTGAGAATGGGAATTATGAATTTAAAATTAGAATTCGACCAATTAGAAATTAACTTTATTCTGTTTTATTTCAATTACTATAGTTAAATTCTAATTTCCAATTTGCAATTCTTTTTTAATGTTTAAAATTAAATCTATTTTTTCAATTTTTTCATGTAATTGCCGAATAAAATACAGTTATCAATAGCAATAAATGATGGATTATCCGACTACTTATTCGGCAAGTTAGCTAATGGCACATTCTTTATAGTTTAATCATCTTTAATGATCAAAAAAAGTTTCTCAAATCGAAATACGGTGAAGCTCATTTGAAATTAATTGAATGTTTATTTCCTTTTACGTTTACGATACTTTTATTTCTGAATAAAGAAACTTGATAAGGATTCTTAAATTTCTCAAAATTCAAAATTATTAGCAAAATGGGGCAAATGAGAGTACGGCGCGGTACTTGGTGCGCAAAAATTCACAAATCAAACGATTAATAAATCAGAATATAAATATATTTAGCTTACTTAAAAATCGAATGTTTCGGCCACATTTGGGGCTATCCTCAGCGATGTACAACCAGTACAACGAGTTAGAGAAGAAATTTCCTATAGTTTTGCGTAACAGGCTCGTCCCAGCTCAGGTTTAAAATCATTCAAGGTTTACAAGCCAATGATGATTTAAAAAAGAAAGATTATAACGCGATTCTAACTTTAACACTATTAACATCTTTCTGACGTCATCTCTTTGTTCTTAATTATTAATTTTATCTGATTTGTGTAACTATTTCATTCATTTTATGTTATTCTCTTGAACTCTTGTCTGCAGGTTTTTTTTAAAATCATCATTGGCTTGTGAACCTCGTTGAGTACTGGTTGTACATCGCTGAGGATAGCGATGTACAACCCAAATGTGACCGAAACGTTCGATTTTAGCTAAATATATTTATGTTCTAATTTATTAAGCGTTTGATTTGTGAATTTTTGTATACCAAGTATCGCGCCGTACTCTCATTTGCCCCATTTTTCTAATAATTTTTTATTTCTGACTCAACTCGTCGTAGATTTCTCGTTATAATAATTGTTAATTATACTCCAGAGCTACAAATGCCTCAGGTATTATCTTATAGTTATTTCCTTATAGTTCAGGGAAATTAGTTTTAATTGATCACAAAGCGACAGAGAGAAAAAAATAATATAATAAATATAAGACATTCCGTATATATATGTAACGTAAAAATACCAGCAAAGAATTTTGCATCTGCAGTCCTGCATGGTGCGATCCCCAAGAAGCAATTGTAATATTGCATTCGCAATTTTTCGTTCGCCAAAATTTCTTGGATATTGATATCGTCGTACCGATCCGAATACAACTCTTTCTCTGCGAATACACATGCCAATGCAACGGCGATGATCGTTACGATGAGGCTTAGTCGAGCCATTGTTTCTTCTACCTTTGCACGAACTTAGAATAGAACTACTAAAGTAATCAATCAGCTGTTCATTCCATTTATAGAGATTAGCCGTGGCAAAAGTTGTTACGTCAGACAGAATATCTCATACACCGATGACGACAGCTTCTTAATTAGAATAGAAGGAATTAAAAGAAGACAACTTTTTTGCGAGAATATAGGAAGTCTTCATAAAAAAGTTTCTTCTTCCTTCATAAACAAGGTGATAAATTATTAAAATTACATCGATATCAAGTTTTTACTGACATCAGACAGCAATTTGAAAAATGCAAACTTGGATCAAATTGTTTTTTTTACATATTATATATTTTTATTGCAACGTTTTAATAAAACATTCAAAGACGTATGTTTATATAAAATTTTTTTTTATTATAATTTATAGAACATACTGTCAAAGTTAAGAAAAATCCGAGGACCCTGTATATTCCCAGAAAGCACAGAGAGTTCAAAAAGAATTCATAAAGGATTCCGTTGTTATGCCATCAATAGGGTAATCAAAATATGTATAGGGCATGTTTTTTTTATTTGACTAATAAAGAAATAAACTAGTTTCATAAGAAATTATGTATTTTGAGCCCTATGTGTTACAGCATATTTTTCATATTTCATACATAATTTACATATTTTTGCATATTTCGCCCATACGTGCACAATATTTACATATTTTATCTATTTTTATTGTATATTTCACATCGTTTTCTAATTAAAATTTATGATCAATTTTTTCTGATATAATAATAAATAGGATTTCTAAGATAAGTTTTTCTCAATCAGAAATATGCTACAACATATTTTCAGGGAATGGAAGTAACTCGTTACTTATAACGAAGTTATAGTTACAAGTTACTTTTTGTGTAACTTTACTGATAACTGCGTTACTTTTTCTTTTTGGTAATTGTAACGGTAACTTAGTTACATCTTTTTGATAACGGTAACGAATTTTACAGTTACTTTCATCGTTACTTAGCACACGATTGAATAGAGATGTAAAAAACGGTATTTTTTACTTCGGAGAAAAGTATCAAGCAAACAATTAGTTTTTTTACTGTAAATAACGGTATTTTTGACTAAATTACATAAAATTCATAAAGAAACAAGTTATTTCAATATATTGGAACGACAGACATTTCATATATTTAAAAGCTAAATAAATGATGTTATTAATACAGATAATACTTTATAAGCATAATAGATATTGTTTTGTTGCATATTGATTATAATTGTACTCTATATTTTAATTATTTTAAGACAACATCCCAATATAATATTGATTTAAGCGTAGTTAGAGATTCGATGAACGTTGTCTCACTATAATTTAAATTTAGAATATGTATAATCACAGTATACGACAAAAAATAGTGTCAATTAGTCTAGTAAAGTATTATTTGTATTAATAATACAAGTATGGAATACTTACTTCACTTTTAAAATTGAAGTACAGTATACAGAAGTAAAATGTCATTCAAATAATAGTGAAAAGTAA